AAAAAAAAAAAGAAATGCTTTAGTACAGCAACCTCTAAACTGCTCCCAGCCTATAGTCTTGCCATTTCGAATCCATTAGCCATGTGTGGGCGAGTGAGCTGTCTTTAAAGCAAATCTGGCTCTCCCTGTTTAGAGACCTCAGTGACTCCGCATGACCTACAGAATAAAGTGCAGACCCCTAAAAGCAGGCCCAGGCCTCTAGCCCCTGTCTGCCTCTCCAACCTCATCTGTTGCCACTCCCTAATCCGTGCTCTCTCCTTTTAGCTACACGGAATCGCTCGTGGTCTCTCCAGCCTGCCAAGCCCGCTCTCACTTCCTCTCATTTATACTGAACTGCCCTTTCTTCCTCCCCACTGCCCTTCCAGAATTAACCTGAGAATTACCTCTGTAAGGGAGCCTTCCTGTTGCCCTCCCCCATGGCATCCCTCTCACCTGGCATCTGTATCCCTGTCTGTCTCATGCTGGTACAATTATCTATACATAATTTCTGTGGCCCCCAGAAAGCAGAGACTGTATCTTACTCACCTCTTTATCCCCAATATCTAGCCCAGCATATTGTCAGTACTTGGTTTCTTGAATCAGCTGTTTGGAATAGTGGACAAGGATGGTGGTAGGAGAAGGCAGGAGAAGAGTATTTCCATCCTGCCCACCAGGTAAACCTCACCCTCACCAGCCTCTCTCTCTTTTGCACAGTGGGACCCAGCCCGGCTGAATGAATCTACCACGTTTGTGCTGGGATCTCGAGCCAACAAGTAAGTTCCAGAGCTTTGGCACTGAGGGAGGGGACAACTTGGGGGCCTACCCCTAGGACTGCAGCTGCTGGATTCCTTACCACCCCTCCGTTCCTTTTCAGGGCCCTGGGAATGGGGGGCACCAGAGGAAGAATCTACATCAAGCACCCGCACCTCTTTAAGGTAGGTGAGTGCTGCGAGTCAGGCAGGCCGTTGCAGTGTGTGCGGTGGGAGCTGTGGATGGCACAGAGAAGCTTGGAACAAACACTGATCTGGGAGTCAGGACTTCTGTGTTCTAGTTACCCCTCTGCCCTTAACCTTTACCTTTTGTAATTTACTGAACATTCTGCCCCTCAATAACAACTGCTTTCCTTGTGTGCTTATTGCGGACCAAACCGGGTTTCAGGTGCTGCACTTTATCTCAGGGAGCTATCCTTTAAAACAGAGATGGCTCTCATTGTTTTACAAATTAAAACATAGGGGCGCCTGGGTGGCCCAGTCGTTAGACTTCTGCTTCAGCTCAGGTCATGATCCCAGGGTCCTGGGATCGAGCCCCACATTGGGCTCCCTGCTCAACGGGAAGCCTGCTTCTCCCTCTCCCACTCCCCCTGCCTGTGTTCCCTCTCTCGCTGTGTCTCTCTCTGTCAAATAAATAAATTAAAAAAAAAAAAATTAAAAATTAAAACATAAAAAAAACAAAAACAGGGGTAAAGAAAGGCTAAGTGACTTGCCCAAAGTTACTCAGCCAATAAGTGATGAGTAGGATTCCAGTCTGGGTCTGTCTTCAGCAAAGCCTGAGCTCTTCCCCATTACCTTATTCAATTGTCTATAAAATAAAGAGGTTGGAGCAAGGCAGCAGTTCTATCGCTTTTCAAAGAAAGGTACTTAAGTCTCTACTATTTAAGAAAATAATGGGGGGGGCATGATATCAGTCACCCTCTTAAATGAATTTGTGTTTCTTCAGTCACAAAAGTATCCAAATATATTAGAAAATAGCGCATGTGTGTTCAAGACCTGTTATTGCACCCGTCCGTAAGGCTTGGGGTCCCAGAATTACAGCCCTGCCTACTACATTCTGTGCAAGTTCAGGTTCTTTGAAGGGTGGACCTGCTTCTTCTTTTTAAGTCTTACATCCTGAGATCCTCAGCACCTAGACAGTGTGGCCTACTTGCTACTTCATTTTCCTTTCAGTGTCTTCACTTTTGCTGTTCCCTCTGATGACCTTCCCCCTACCCCCCGGCTTATATCTCTGCCTGACTCTTCTGTAAGATCCACCTCTTCCAAAACCCTTCATGCATCATCCCCCAAGTGTATGTGCTCTGGAACTTCCTTGGAACTCCAGTAGCACCATGGTTAAGAGTATGGTTTTAGTTCTGGTTCCGCTACTTAGTAACCATGTGACCTTGGGCAAGTAGCTTCACATTTCTTTTTCTTTTTCTTTCTTT